TCAATGACCTTCTTTGCGTGAGATTTAATGGTGAATAAATGTCCTCTGACAAAACCATATATTATCTGTAGGACTTTACATAGTAGAGAAGGTTCAAGAATCCAGTGCAGCTTTATGCTTATCTTTAATTACTGAGCAGGTCATACTGAATTCAACAAAAACACTCGTGTGAACACAAAAGGAAATCCTATTATGATAGTACATGTTGAGTTTTTCCAGGTCTCAAGCTGTATCCTATTTGAGAATTTTTTTACTTAAAAAAAAATGCAAATTGAGTTCTGCTTTGGTTCAGGGTATTTTTTCCAATAGTAAGATTAAGAGTAAATGCAAAGGAAAGTTTGATCAAATCACAGGAAAGGTGAATTAAAAAAAGCTCATATCACATGAAATTAAGAACATAAAAGTTACAGGATATCTTCTGTATCATCTATATAATCTAAATGTCTGTTCCATTACTATATTAAGCTACTGGATATAGATATATTAGCAATACTTACAGAAATGCGTACAACCTCTGTAATATTACAATGACATGTTAATTCTTTTGATACACGTTTTTCTTCTAATATAAAAAAATGCTTTTTAGCATATGCTGATGTAGCAGTAACTTTATACAAAGTTTATTTCTATTAATTACTATTTTTGATTAATTCAGTCTTCCAAATTTCAGTAATTCTAAACCTTTCAATAAATTTTTATCATTCAGATCTTCTATAGATATAATTAAAATTATCTAATGTACATAATGAGAAACATCTTTTTATGCTACCAGAGGAAGAAGAAAATCCAAAACTCAGCTTAGAAGAGGTGATACTAAATGCAGAATCTTTTATGAACTTCATAAAAATACACAAATTCTCTGGAGTCCATCCATGTAAGAGACTTCAAATATATAAAACCAGGACATTTCTAGAAGTGTTTTGACGGGAAATAGCTGGATAGGTTTATAACCATTTCTAACTGGACTACATTTATCTAGGAAGCCCAAAAAATCTCTGTCCAAGTAATTACACATTTGCTGGAATGAACAAAATGTCAGGAAATTGCAAAAGCAGTTTCATCTACTGCAGGAGAATTACAAATAAAATTCCATTTATAATTTCAAATTTATTCCTAAAATTTACTTTAAGGAAACCACAAGCATACATAAATAGTTAAAAAATATATATTATATGTATGTATATATAAAATATAATACTTATATTAAGTGTGATAATACATCTTTAAAGAGTGAAAAAAATCTTCAATGAAAACCACAATTTAGGTGGCATCTTTGCATATAATAATACTTCAGTCAATAATTTTCAATGCATCTAAATTTATCATCAGTTTCTTTTTTGTTTCAATGCAATCAAAGAATACTAAATTGGTGGACTTAGTTTTCTTTGGGTACATAAGAGAAGTGAAGTTGTGATGTTGGTTTTGCAGACACAACACCAAACTCTGGCTATACTTTGATACACAGCAATAAAAAATAGTCAAGAGAATATGTAAAGTAAGCCACAACCTTTAAAGAATAAAAAAGCTTCCTTTAGCACTTTACTTTTCTACTTTTCAGGCTCATACCTTTCTATGCTTGAGATAATCTACTAGATAAACAAACTAAGATCTCAGGGGAAAAGAGTTCCCTTAAAATTCAAAGAAAAGTGAAAATCAAATAGCTAAAATAAAGTCTGGAGGTGTATTTAAAATGCAGCCAGGGGAAAAAAAAAAGCGTAGTCTGGCTCAGATTTAAAATATGCTTCTAAAAAAATTAAAAGAACCTTCCTAGTTTAGCAAAAGCGTAGCAATATATCTGCAGGAAGGCATCTGAAAAAAACTTTAATGAAACCTTCACATTATCCTCTAAAGAATGTGTCAGAATTTGACCAGTCAACTTGTTCTTATTCTGAGATTCAATTTTCCTTTTGAAGTAGACTTACACAGGCACTATGCAATTGCCCACAGTATTCTGTAAAGAAATGCAGCTTTTCTATGACATCATCTGAGAAACACTGGCAGTGCAAAAATATGGTACATTTGAGCAGTGGACATTTGAATAACCTTCACATGAATAAGAGAAGCGCTAGTGACTTAAACTGCTTATGGTTTTAATTTCTTTTTCAATATAATTTGTCTGGATTTTTGCCACAAGAATGACACTGCATAAAACTAATTATGATTACTGTGTTGTATGCAATAAAACCCCTCTTCTTGTAAGTAATGAATGATAGAAATAAGTAGAGGGAACACTAAACCTTAGAGAAAAGATCCTGAATTTTCCCAACAATTTTTTTTAAATGCTTTTCTTAGAAACTAAGAAAATAATACATACCATGGCTTCCACATTAAGTATCTGCTCCAGCTGTGATTTCTATACACCAATAACAAAATGTAACTACTGTACTTCTTGTACAGATGGTCTTGACTCAGTGTTAACGTGAATCCTTGGAGAATGCAAGTGTTGATTCTCACATGTGCAGTCACTTCACAGCCATTTTTTTAAAAATATGCAAGGAATTGCTTTTGCAGAAATCGAACAAAGCCAGATATCTACATTACTGCAAAGCATTTATAAGGCCAAACAAAACCAAAACTTAAATCCAGAATTCTGGATTCTTCAGAGCAGACAAATATGCACTACATATATGCCTGGGTGGATTTTCAAGAAAATGCACAAAACCGTGTATGTATATGTTCTGAAAATCAGCAGATACTACAGCCCGTAGGTTGCATGAACTGTAAAATCTGTCTCAAAATGAACATCTGGAATATTTAAATCTTAAATCTAGAGTTGATCTTCTAGAGTCTCTGGGGATTAAAATGAAGGACTGACTGCAGAAACATCTGTCCTTGTCTGCTAAAGCATTTACTCTCTCAGATAAATTCAGGCAAAATGGCATCTTGTTCAAGCCATGATTTTAATGTTAACAGTCGCTAGAGAGCTAAACTTACCTTAGCCTAGGACCAAAAGTTCACTATTAATGTAAGTTTACTCAGAACTTTATGGTTATGGCAGTTAACTGCAGATGCTTATTTTTGGATATTAGTAATTTTGGCACTCTTGAAGTATTTAAGATTTTCTCCAAATCTAGAGATTGTGTCAGTATTTTTTCCATGGTTTGACTGCTTGTTTTTTATCTTCTACCTTTAAAGAATATTCTAAAATCTAAAGTAACAAGAGTATTAACAAAAAAACCTTAAAAAATATTATTTCTCCTGCAGTATCTAAAAACTTCACTTCTAGATATCATTTCTTACAAAAAAAAACAACAAAAAACAAACAAAAAAAAAATAACCCATACAAGTCCGCCACACAAGTGTGCTTTAGAACCATTAGATCTGTTTGAATCAGGGTTCTCTCTCTAAAACATGAGTGTACCCTGCAGTGACTGTGTAGGTTCTTTACCTCCTTAATTTTCACTTGGCAAGTAGCCCAAGCCTCTGCTTTAAATATCCCACTTGGTAGCACTAGTATGGCACCTGAAGAGTAATTAGTTGTAAGAAAGGGAATTTGAATCGTTTGCTGAGAAGGAAAAAAATGTGCATGCCTAATAAAGATTTTTTCCTTGAGTACCCGAAACACCCTTTATTTATTTTTGCTTAGAATGCACCACCCTTTAAATAGACCAGCGACTTTTTTTTTTTTTTAATCTTCCAGAAAAATTGAATGATAGAAAACCAGTTTGGTTTTAAAGCAATGCTATTTTTATTTTAGCCAGTCTTTTCCATTACAGCACCTCTTATCGTTACATAAATTTTGTTCCCCCCATTTATTTTCTTTTTTTTTTTAACAGTTCCCTGATAACAGCATTTTCTATTTTATTTCTCACATTGCTCTTCAATAGATACCTAAGGAGTAGTCTTTTAGGAAGGCAAATCATGAAGATGTCTGAGAAATCAGAACATTTCCGCTAAATTACACATATAGTTCCCTGTGAAGTTTATACTGTCCATGAAACTTTATATTATGATACTGTTTGTAAGATAGGCAGATCTTCACTGGTTCCAATGATGTTGGAAACTCTTTTTAAACAATTCATTACACATACATAGTTATGCAAAATAACAGTAACAGAAATGAAGTTTTCCCTCCTCTAGAAATTAGCAGTTCCCTAGTCCTAAGAAAGTGAAAAGTGCTGCTCCTGATACTGCTTCTGCCTTCTGTGCAAAGACAAAACACAGAGAAGTTTGAGGGGGAGGGGATTTGATTTCTTTTTTAATGTCTGCCTCCTTCCAGCAAGTCCATCTGTTGTAGCACTATAATTCTGGAAGCAGGATGTGTGTGTGACCAACAGGAGACAATTACTGCATAAGTGTTTGTTGATTCAGCTCTATAAAGGGCAGGCCAAACACTACAGTATGAACAGAAAAGAATTCCAGCTGAGGAGCTGCATATAGATTAACACAAAATACATATATACATGAGAATGGGGAAAACCAGAAAGGAGTAATAGCATGGAAAAGGATTAAGTAGAAATGAAGACTGAAGCTGAGAAGAAAGTTTGTGTCCTTGGGTTGTTAACTAAATACTTTATTTGTCTCTATTTCCATAAACTTTGTTTTTTGGCTTTTCACCTTAACAGAGAAAGATGGGATTAAATAGATACAGAATGGGTCTGAGTCCCCTTTGGAAGAAAGCTCTAGCTGTCTTGGGGTGTATGGAGACAGTGCCTGTTCTTCACAGAGGAAGAGGTACTAGTTCTGGACTAACCAGATTCTCAGGAAGGTTTGCAGATCACAGGCTAAAAGTGAAACTTACCTCATTCATTTGAACACATGTAAAAAATCAGCATGAAGACTACTTTATTTTCAAAAGGATAAATGAATTGTGTTGATGCACTAGCCTTAATACCATCTGCATATAATATGTATCTCACACAAAGCATGCTAATACATAATATTTCATAATTTTACTATAATAAAAAAAAACCCAAAAAAATCAATGTTATCAAAATTTCACAGAACTGCACTAGAATTAAGGTGAACATTGCAAGACACTATAATGAAAAGTACTTTACCTCTATGATCAGTTTATTAACTTGAAGTCTCTGATCAGCCAAATGTAGCTGACTTCTTAATTTTTCATCGGTTTGTTTAACATTTTTAATGGAAGTCACTATTGTCTTTTTTTTCCTCTGTACAACAGCTTCCTACTTTCTGCAGTGGTTTAATTTTTTCCTGCAATAGAGTAACAGAGTAGCCTGGTTTCTGGACAGTGACATTTCTCCCTTTTGCTCTGCTCACTGAACATAAAATGACATATTACTAAATGGACAAAATCATCATAAGTAACATGATTTATGATTTTTTTTTGGCCCTTCAAAACACTTCCTGAAATCTCTTAAATATTTCTTAGTAAGCATACTGGTAAATTAACAACTGACCTATAAAAACATAAAACATATAAAACAGTCAACCTATAAACACTCCATGTTGTGCTTTTCCTTAAGTGGCAACAATCAACAAGGACTTGGAAGTTACATGTCTTGAATTTTTGATTAAGATTATCAAAAATAGAGGCTTCAGTGTCTTGTTAACAAGCTGGGGGTTTTTCAAGGTCTAAACCAAACCACATTTAATTAGTTTCATTGGCTATGTTGGCTACAAGGGGCAAACATGAACAAAAGGTAATGAAAAACCTCCTATCAGTCAGTGGATTCACTAGGTGGGACTTAGTAAAAACTTACTTTAACTATGTAAAAAGATGCTGTTTGATAGTCATTTTTTATATGAGAATTTCACCTTAAAATAACGAGCTAAAAATCTGAAAACACACAAATTCAAACAAGCAAATCTTGCAACAGACTGTCAGTGGGTTTGTGTATTAATTTACTAGGTATCAAATGCTCAGTGTATATTTAAACACTTTTGATCAGGAACACTGCAATCTTTCTCCAGTCTTTTAAGTTTTCAGATTTCAATTTCTAGGACATCTCATGCAACATATTCCTGGGAATATTCATATCTTAAATAGCTGTTAATCAAATTTAAAAGAGTGAAGACCAACACATTCTCTACCAACTGCACTGAACAAATTGCTGACATTGCAGGATAATTTAGCCATAAATTCTAGATAAGTACAATCACCACACAGTTTGAAAGACCAAGAACTGAGCTCTCAGCAGATGACAAGCAAACAATCCACATCTGTAGCAAAAAGACTGAGATCTCCACTCTAAGCCACAGCTCTAATAAATGTATGAGTTGTAAGAGAGTTACAGTAACTCTGCTGATACCGCACAGGGTATTGTATATTCCTACCACGTGGAGAAAAAAATGACCAAGTCCTTGTATCATAAATGGTCTCATCTCCAACCCCTTGCACAGCTCAAGACTTCAGAAATATCTTTAGCCTCTCTTTGCATGAGAATACCCACCAGTAGGGTACTTAAATCCTTTGGATGGATTAAAGAATTCTGTTAAACTGGTGTTCCCAACTGCTAATGCTAATGCTATTTGTGCAATACTTTCTTTCACACTCATAAACCATGTTTTCAAATCCTTTTCCTGCAATAGGGGAGTTCTATTGAAGCATATTTAACTGCTTAGTGCTCTCCAGACACTTCCTGAATCTGCTTCAGTTCCACCAGTCAGTTACAAATGTCTATCAGAATGTATCTATCTTCTCCACTAAGAACAGACAGTAAATGAAATACAGGCCCTACAGAAATTGTAGTGGCAGTATAGCCAATGAAGAGAGGACAGTGTCCTGGGTTCCCTGCCTTGTATGTCCTTACTCAAGAGTAGAAGGAAATTAACAGCAGTAGCACACTTCTGTCAGATCTTCATAGATTAATGGATAAGAATTTTCCTTTTTTTCAGCTTATTTCACCAAAAGTATTGATGACATAATACCATCAAGAATATGTAACAAGACCAGAGAGTCTGCATTTGGACTAAAATTTTGGAAACTAAGGAAACAATCTTTTTTCAAACTCTGTTATATCACCATTCAAAATACTGAATTTCAAACTAGTTATCTAAAAGCAGCAAGTTGTTCAGTGTTTCAGTATTCTGTTTCTTGAACTAAGAAATAATAATATCTGGTTATGTTTAAAATTCCATTAAGTGATTTATCTGGACAAACATAGGAGGGAAAATCTATTAGGCACTGTTAAAAAGTCCAAGAATGAGTCATCTGTTACAGATTGTATAGAGCCTCTTAAGACCTGGGACACAACCAGCTGGCCCTCTTCTGTGAGAAAACAGCATATAGATGTTAGCAATGAGACAAGCAGTTCAAATCCCAGACAATCCATGTAAATAGGCTAAGAAGAGGCTAAAAGCAAGCTTTTCTCAAGACAGAATCTTCTGGACACAGGGAGAGTCAAAAGTATCTTTCTAAAATGGAGAAACTCATCCAGCGCGCAACCAACGAACTGAGAGACATTTATGCTGGATTAGTCAGCTCACCATTTGGCTAGAAGGGAGGCAGAGAGGGGTGTTGCTATCTCCCTGTTACGGGTTAGGGCAGCCTGCTCTGTATGGTGCTTCTGACTGAGACAAAGTTCAATGGGATGTCTGTGGCATTCTTTGGACTGTGAAACAGCACCACTAGCTTTACATTTTCAGCAACTTTACATTTTCAAATCACCTTTCACATTTCTGTCCAAACAGTTTTATAGGTATATTTGGTCTGTATGGCCAGATTTTGGTAGTGGGGGAGCTAGAGGGGTGGCTTCTGCCAGAAGCTTCTTCCATGACTAGCGGAGTCATTGCCAGTCAGTTCAAAGACAGACCCACCATGGGCCAATTAGAAATTATAGTATCTCTATGAAAACATAATTAAGAAGGAAAAAAGTCATTGCAGATGTAATTGTGGCCAGAGAAGAGCGGAGAGAGAATATGCGAGAGGAATAGCTCTGCAAACACAAGGTCAGTGCAGAAGGAGGGACAGGAGCTGAGATTCCCCTGCAGCCCGTGGTGTAGACCGTGCTGAAGCAGCTGCAGCCCATGGATGATCACAGGGATGCAGAGATCCACCTAAAGCCCGTGGAGGAGACCCACAGCTGAGCAGGGGGTGCCTGAGAGGAGGCTAGGACCCCGGGGGAGGCCCGTGCTGGAGCAGGCTCCTGGCAGGGACCTGGGGAGAGAGGAGCTCACACCAGAGCAGATTTCCTGGGAGGAATTGTGATCCATGGGGGACCCCGGCTGAAGCAGCCTGTTCTTGAAGGACTGCACCCTGTAGAAGAGTGACCACATTGCAGCAGTTTGTGGAGGGCTTACCCATGGGATGGACTCACATTGGAGAAGTTCATGGAGAACTGTCTCCCATGAGACACCCCCACTGGAGCAGGGGAAGGAGTCCCCTTCCTGAGCAGTGGGAGAAACAACATGTGATGAACTGACCATAACCCCATGCCCTGTCTCCATGCGCTGCTGGGGGGAAGGAGGTAGAGCTGGCAAAGAGGGAGGAGTGGGAATAAAGTGGTTTTAAGGTCTTATTTTATTTCTCATTATCTTCCTCTGATTTTGTTAGTAAAAAAGTTAATTTATATGTCTAATTCAAGTTTGGCAGTATTTGATGACTGCTCTCGTTCTATCCCTATCTGAGCCCACAAACCATTTGTTATACATTCTCTCCCCTGTCCAGCTATGGAGATGGGTGAACAAGAGGCTTTGGTGGATGCCTGGCATCTAAACAGTGTGAATCCATGATAGCAGACTTACTGTTCAGAAAATATTCTAAAATATAATGAATCCACCCACTGAATATCTGGAAACAGGTTTACACTTCTATACTGAGAGTCAAATTAACTAAAAGCAGACAGCAGTGCTAATATTAAACTCCAAAACTCCACCCATGAGAACAAAACAATATATACCTTTTTATAATATTGCTCATTTTGGACTTCTAAATGCAGGGCTTTTTTTCTTCTTGTTTATTTCTGTCTGGCAGTGGATCAGTGTTCTGCACTGTCTTCCTAATCCCTGTTTCCAAACTTTCAGAAGTTGCTATTTCAGAGTCACTAAAGCAGCACATGTAGAAAACAAAACACAAACAAAACCAAAAAACCAACCAAATAAAAAAAAAACCCCAAACAACAACAAAAACCAAAACAAAAACAACAACCTCCCCTCCTAAAAATATCAAAACCAAAATCAATCTAAATATCAAACACTCCAGAGTTTATGCATAAGCACAAAGAAATAAACTTTATAAATACAATAAAGTAAAAATCTATCTCTGAAATTATTTTATCAAGTTCTCCTCTCTCAATGCAATCTCACTTTTTACAATGCAGAGGCCTGAGACTTCAGCTGCTTCTTAAGACAACTTTTGTGACAATTCACAGAAGTGAAATAAATGAAAAATACTTGATTGTACTTCTAGAATGTGAATGGCTCATAAACTACTAAATTTCTACTTTCCTTCATTTTCACATTTTACAATACAACATGTAAATGCACAATCCTTTACAACATTTTGTTTCACTTTATTTATAGTGTTGACTGAGACAAACTCAGAAATCACAATTCAGTGAAAGCTCTACTCAGCACCCCTTTTGAATGGTCTTAAATTCTGTAAACTTGTTAATCCTTTCACTGAGATTCCTGCCATGCAGAGAAACTGGACCTGAAACTTTAAATCTTCTTACAATTTTTCCTTAGAATGACACTCAGTGTGCTTGTAATTTCCAGTTTTTCACTGCCTTACCCCACACTGTCATTTGCTTTCTTATATTCACGGAAGTCTACTTTGAAGTCTTGGACATATCCTCTTCTATAACATCAGGGGCTATATATCATCATTTATGTGAGCAGATTTGTGAAGGAATACCTAAACAGAAGGCTAGTTTGATTTGTTACTTTTTAAACCAAGGTATTTAAAACAGTGTAACTGAGCTCAAATGAAGTTACATCACCATAAAAAATCCATGGTTTAGATATGCAGTTTACTTAACCAGAGAAAAGGCCTCAAACTGACGAGAAGAGTTAACACATAAACATGTTTATACTTTTTAAAACCTATCCTGACACATTGGTATGTCTCACTGATTGATGAAAACAAAATCAATGCATTGGTTTCAAAGGGCTGTTGTACAGCCACAGAGACATTTCTAACTACATACACATTTCCCTCACCTGCTTTAAGGAATGTTCTATTTAGAAAATTGAAGGCTTGCATTTAAAACCTCAGAGCCAGCTACTAGAAATAAAGAATGGTATAAATAAGCAGAAGAGGAAACTAAATTAAGATACTTCCCTAAGTTGTTGAAACTACAACACCTTGAAACTTCAACAATATTCACTGTTCTATGACAAGAATTCTCTAACCCAACATTTGTACAATTATTAAAAGCAGTATTTACAGCTAGCCACAAGTGAAGCTATGTAAACACTTTTCATTTCAAACTATAAGCAGAATGACAATGTGCTTGCTCAATGTTTTTCTTAAAGAGAACAACATAGCAAATTAAATACTCACTAATTACAACATGTATACGTTTCCATATGTGCAAACATGTATGTTTCTTATTAAAATCAGATCTGCAATATTTTATTATACATAAAAAAACCCCAAGCTTTACATTAATGACAACAACTAAGTACATGGTTCCTAATTTGTTTTCTCCCTCTAGATACTGTGTTCAGGACCCCCCTATTTTGCATGGGGAGAAGTAGTAGAAAGGCTTTATTTGCCACTATTGATTTGCTCCATATGACACATAGATGCTTCCTGTATCTTGGAATATATAAGACATACAGGCTTCAGAATTTCTTTGCTTGTTTCTTAGAACAATGTCCTGAAAGACAAGGAGTGATAACCATTTACCTAGTGGCTAACTGCTGCCTCCTCAAGTATATGGGGACATAATAAGAAGAAGCAAAAATTCTCATTGTTTATATGACATTTGCCAGTGGAATTTTCTGAGAGCCTTTTGATTCATGACTGGGATTGTATGTGGTAACCATCACCTTTAAAGATTTTTAACCATCATTCAATTAAAGTTAGTACAATGACTGCATAAAACATACAGGAAATAATTAGTGTGGATGGTTCTTAATTTAAAGGATGTTAAACAGCTTGTAGACATCTGCTAGCAAGCTGAAATGGGTCATTCAAAATTTATCTAACTAAATTAAGGGGAAAAAATGTTTCTCCTCCCGGGTCGGCATGTCACAAGATAACTAAACCGACTTACTAGGCTTGCCTGGGAATCCGTAGCTGTCAGTGGTGAATATGCAAAAGGCCAGCAAATTAAATCAACCTGCCAAACTGTCAATTTCAAGCCTCATGACTGCATGAAAATAGCATCACTGGAAGAAATCAAGCATTGCCTTCTTTTGGGTTTCCTGGCACCTATTCAAATACTCATGCAGTTGTGGCTAATTTCGCATGCAAATTTCAGTCAATAAGCTCCGAACAAGACCTCCCAAGATATTTCAAAGGATCTGACAGTATTTTTTTTGAATACCAAATCAACAGTAGTTGAAATTCAATCTCCATTTGCTAGTGCTTTACATATGCACAGTGTCCCCTCTACAGGGCTAAGTTAATGAGAGCCGTACCTGCTTTCACTCACATCCTCCCAGCCGTCCTTACTGAAGTTCTCAAACACATTACTCATAACCTTGATGGACTGTTTGAGAAAAGCTCCATGATGTCCCAAAGAGCTCTTTTTCTTGGCTGTTTTTAATTTAACCTTGGTGCCTGTTATCTTGCAATTACATTACCCAGAGATTGCCACTGCTTTGGCTTTATCCAGCAAACACTTCTGCTCCTGCACTTGACTCAGCAAATCTTCACTTTCATTTCTCAACCTGTTAGCTTCTGTCACTTGCCTCTTCAAAGAGGCAGCTTCTTTTTCCTTCTCATCAATCATGAATTGAAGTCCTGCTTTTTCTTTTTTTACCTCACAAATCATCTTAAGTAGCGTTTCCAGCTCTCTTTTTCTTGTGTCTGCATCTTTCTTTTGCACTTTTAGAGATTCTTTCAAATACACTTTCTCATTCAGTAAGTCTTTATTTACTTCTGTTTCTTTATTTCCTCTTCAATAGCTTTGAATCTTCTTTCCAGTTGTTGTACCTAAAAAAGGCAATTTTAACATTTACAATATTTCAGCCTGTCTTGAAAAACTACAAACTGTTTTCAGACATATTTATTATGTGACAATAATGTCACATGAAGAGCAAGGACAAAAGCTATCTGTAGTCCTTAATTTTAAAATAACTTTACATAGTGCAGATTAAAACATTTTGGCTGCAATAATACAGCTGTTGAACAAAGGGCAGATGGTAAAAGAACTTAAAATTCCAGGCAAAATGACACAGAAGTTTAAGTATACCATGCTAATGAATCTTCCTTATGCATCTTGAGCTCATTACTGATTTTGTTATACATACTAATTAAATTTAAAAAAACATTTTCAGAAAGAATACTACTCTGAAATGTAGACAATTTTGCACTATCTATCTGAAGCAACAAGTTCTTTCAAGTGTTGTAAATACAGAAAAAAAATATTAATTTGATCTTTCAAAAAACTCCGAACAAATCCTAGCAAGAGATATCAGAAACTCAGCACCTAAAAATATGGAAGCCAGTGTATGTTTGCTATTCACAGAGATGAAAAATCTATCCTGTTTCAATAAAGAGACTAATTTGCCAAGTTCCTGACAAAAATTTTGTGGAAAACATCATTATACCTATATTTTGCTTCTGAAGTCCTTTGAGGTTTATGGATACTGAAGTCCATTCACAATAAACTGACTCCCTGTGATGTTCTTGAATATCCATATAAAGGACAATTCCAGAAATAAGGGGCAATTTAATTTTAGCAGATACTAATCTGATTATTTAGTCTATGAGACATCCCCAGAAACTTGAAAAGGGCATCAGAGCAAGTTCTGTGCTCAGTAATGACTTACTCCAATACTTGGAGAAATATTTTTGGATGGTTTTGTACAAGCTCAATCCCCACTCTTTCACTAAGGAATATATCAGGGGTTCTAGGTTTCTCTGTACATTGTTAAGGAAGACTGTTTTTTTCTAGGAGCTACACGAGCGTATGTATGGCTAACTTGAACTCCCAACCTTGTAAAATACTGGCCACTTCCCACACTTTGTAGCAATACAAAATGTCAAAACTATCTTTGACACTGAAAATATTGAAACCCTATTATTTCTGTAAGTTTTTACTTTTAGTTTTTTACAACAACATTTTGCCAACACTTAAATTATTTTAAAATTTATTAAATGTTGTACAAAGTGGGTACTACAGGCATGATTCAGCGAAATGACAGCTCTTGATGTACAGGGCAAATTAGAACAAGAGTTGCTCAAACTTCATACATATTTGTGAATTGGATACTAAACACATGAGTTTGATAGGAAATCTTTAATATGACGAGACAACACATTATGGCTACATAAAGTTAATGGGTGAAAGTAGAAATAAAAGGGATTTTTTTCAAATGCTTTAGTGAAACAAAGGGTTATAATTAAAATCATTGCTTGCACATTCCAACCCTATGTCAATGTGTTGTACCAATACCTTTCTTCAATCATCTCCCTAAACTGAGATTCTGCTACTGTTTTCTCAGTTCTTTAAAGGAACCTTTTGCACTCAGTAGCACTTAAAGTCATGTATGACAGCTGGAAGGAAATAAACAATAAATAGCTTCTACACCTATCCCTAAGGTACCATCATAACTCTGTATATCCATAGAGATAAAAATTATGTAGTACCTGGCAAACAAAATTACAGTTCTGAAATACAGATGATAAGCAAGCATAAACTGTGACATTTCAGATGGTAGCATTCATATTATTTCAATTACTCACTCTACCTTAAGATAAATGAATGTGAGCACTTCCTATTCTGTGTGTTATTATTTTAACATGATGTTTGTCATTCAGTAATAACGAGATGACAGCCTTCATTGCCTGACCATATGGCAAGTGTTACAAGTATATGCAATCACATCATCTGCTGTAAATTACCATACTTCCTACAAGTTAATTCACAGATAAAAAATAAATAGACATACCTGAACTGACATTCAACGTTATAGATTTGTGTTTATTCAATTTAAGCATGCTTTTAAAGATTTATAAGTAATTAAACAAATAGTTTTGTAAAATGACAAACAAAAGGCATGATACTGTTTGAAGGATGCCTTTTCTTTGCAAGCAAACAAAACATATGGTAAAATACAAGTGAGCCCTCTTAAGTGAACACCTGTTAACATACTAAACTACTTGTGTATATTACAAATATCAATACAAATACCAACTAGTTAAGAACATCCCATCACTGTATGAGGCAAAGCCTGTAGAATGTTAAGCAATAAAGATAAAATACTTGCCATTATTTGTTAAGCTAGAGAACACTACATGCATGTAGTAGTATCCTGTAAAAAGTGATAGACCCACACATGCAGAAAATATTTGTACATGAAACATTGTGCTAAAAGTTAAATACAACAAACAGTGAATTTATCATTATTATGCATCAATTCCATTCTGTAGAGGAGCTCTATGGATATTAACACCTGATATCATCTCAAGTTAAATACCCAGCAAAGGTATTAAGGTTTCTGAAGTTAAGAGGTAAAATGATACTTCCAATTTAGATAATCTGTTAGCTTTTAGCATTACACCCCTAAACACTCTTTTAATTTTTTCTGACACTAGCCATGTTTATCTTACATAACATTCACAGCTACTTCCCTAGAATTAATTTCTGAGCAAAATTCCTTAAAGCCACATTTTTAAATTTTGAAGGAAAATGATGGCTTAAATTCGTGAGTACTGACATTTAAGTATACATACATACATACATACATATATATATGTGTATATATATATGATTATTTTATAAAATTCAGATCTGTTTGTTGGTATCCTACGTTCTGTAGCATCTCATGAGAAACTTCTCTCATATATCTCTTTGGAGTATTACCCTTGACCCCATGATCTTCACTAAGTTTAAAAAGTGGCTCTATCAGGAAATAAATAACACATCTCTAGAATATAATAAATAAAATACATTATGACACCTAGTATTTCACTAAAACAATCCGTAGACATTTTAAGGAAATGCATTCTTTACTTCTGTAATTATTTATAATGTGGTCTATTTTCTTGACAAGCTTTTTGGTCAGTTTCTAAAGTGACCTCTCTTCAAAGTGTTCTGTCACATAATTATTAATCTCTGTAGCATCACAGTATGTTTTTTTCAGAGTACAAGCTTTTCAAAGGCACAATAGATCGGGGGTTAAAGATACTGTACTTTCATTCCAATTTTTATTCTTTTACAGACTATTCCCTCTATGCCTTAAAAGCAGAATTCATTGCCGTTTTATCTACACAGTCACTATCAGTTTTGTTCTCTAGGTCTTGTCCCCTGCTAGGAGGATCAGAGTGATTGGTGAACAAAGCAAACAGTAACTGAATTAGGATGGATGAAAAGTTTAAACCTTGGTTTTTGTTAAGTTAAAGATCATGTACTTCACTAGATAAATCACACAAATCATTCGACTGAAATACTGTGAAATCATAACAATTAGATATTGATACAGCTAATAACAGCCGAATCAAATCTAAGCATCACAGCTATACACTTTAGATACTAAAAATCCCAAGTTAAAAATCAGACTTATTCATTGAAAAAAACATTTAAAAGTTTCAATACATATGGTCATTCAGAAATCAAGAGTTTAGCATTCACAAATTGCCCACTGCTCATAGAAATGAGCAATTACACACATCAGAAGGATTTAATCTTAGAATATGAAATATTGCATTACAGAACAAATAAATCCCAATAGTCTAAAAGCACCACAATATTAGTATTTCTTTTTTGGTCCTTCTTTCCCCCAAATGAACTTAAAGAATTAATCTTAAGGGATAAATATCTGTGCTACATGGTGGAGGTCTGCTTTAGAAGCAACATTTTAAACTACAAGCAGACACTGCAGGTCACTTAAAAACTTTTGATTTATAAACAAAGCAAGTGTAGAAGAAAACAGTGTTACTCTCTGTAGATTCACAATCCTCTTGATATAAACAGTGACTAACAAGTTTGTTAGAGTGAATTAGACCTTTCTTTTGTCTTTGGAACATGTCATGGCCAATTAATACTTCTGTATTCATGAAATAAATGGAACACTATTCTAAAGATAATAAAAGCTGAAAAAGGTAAAACTAAGCATCTGGGGAATATGTACCTTTACCTTGATATTAATATGTTAGTTCCCATGTTACTTCAGACTATAGTCCCCCAGCACAGTGGTACTGCATACATTTAGAACATTCTTTAAGTAACACACAAAGATAATACGAACATGCTTTTCATCTTTTTCTAAATATTCACTCATTTGAATGCCTGTTGTAGCTTTTATATCAGCATTTACTGTACTCCACTGAAAAGAAAAATTATTTCCCATAGCCAAAGAAACTGATCAAAGCACACAAGGTGTTATGTTTATTATGTGGATGTATTAAAATGTAATTTAAAACTCTATAAATAGACATATTATATGCAGATAGTAAAGAATACCTCTGCAAAAGGGATAGAAAAGACTATACATGCTCAGTATTACCAAAGGAGACACAAGTAACATAAACTGAAGTGTAGCCAAAGGTCACTGAAACTTAACCCTTTCTATTGAGCAGAAAATATATGGCCCATTCAAGCCCCTTTTCCCCTCCTCCCTTCTAATTGTTATGCAATTGTTCATAGGAATTGGTTAGTGAGGCAGTGAAACAGCATCACCTGTAACTGTCCGTCTAGGATAGCAGAAAGATACATCATATCAGTCTACTCAGCAAGACATGCTCTACCTGTCATACTTCTACATAAAAAAATAACATCTTCTCCCTCAAGGAATAGACCCACAAGTCATAAAGCCAACTATCTTCAGTCATCAAATTACCATGGTCTTACATAAGCACAGTTACATCCCACTGAGAAAACATAGTTAACTGTCAGCCTTAGAATGTAAAACTTAATTCCTTATTAATAGTCATCAAATCTGATGATGAGTTAGTTCAACACCACTGCCAAAATGGTACATGAACTGTGAAACTATAGTACACTATAGTATTTGCAGAACACCTGCTTACACAAAGAAAAAAACACCCTTAAAAAAAAAAAAAAAGACACAATAAAGCACTGTCATAGTCACTTAAAAAGAAACCTACACACACCATCAAAGGAATGACATTTTTGTGTGCAGTACACGCCAGGTAAAGGATTTCCCTAACAAAAAAGGCTCCAGGGTGCACAAAGCCACTGTGTTACTGACTCCAGGGGTAGGCACTCATTCTCCTGGGTAGAAAGAAACTTCTGGTGGGAAACATCAGGGTGAAAACCAGAAGGGAATGCCCCATGTCTATATACTGAGGACACAGTATATTCAGGAGTCTCAGAATGAAAGAGGTCTTCAAACTGCCTCCTTGGAGAAACAGCAGGCCAACAGTGTATTGCTTCTAAAGAAGGCATTTGCTATTTTTCTGAATAGGATTTGATGGATCTACTCTCCTGCTTTTGGAGGAAATGGCATAACTACCTACCAACACATCCTTTACCTTCATAAACAAATAAGGGCACAAATAGCATAAACAGTGAATTTGGATTTGATGACTACCAGTAATAAATGGGCAACAGAATAAGAATGGAAAGAAATTGGGAATGGCAGGAACAGTTTCCTTTTCCCTTGACCCACTTCATCTTTGACCAACAGGATCTGAAAAGTTGTATGGTAGAACAACAAAACACAAGTGATACTCAGCAAAGACAGACAATTTTAATGCAGGAAAGCTCAGTCTCTTTTGACAGATTTTATCCCTTGATTTCAGAATGCTTGATGAAAACAGGTACCTATCTGCTAAGGTGAAAGTGAATTCCAACATCATTCATAAACTGAGGAAATTGACATCAGGTTTCCTTTTATAAAGTAAAACATACTGAAATTATGAATGACATGTATTTACACCATATCAAGTTTGGATTCCCAGCAAATTACTGATAACAGACATGAGGTTGCATTTTTATTTAGAAAGAAGGCATTTAACCTCCTTTTTAAGGCAGAGAGCATATGCACTTTCTGAGAACATGAGTAAGGATTTTTAATATTACATTCCTTTATGCTCAAAGATGGACATCCAGCTTCAGTCATTATGGTGCAACCTTCTAGAAAATCTCAAAAAATACATGTGTCATGACTGCAACTCCCTTCGATTTTCAAGGGGAACAATAAGGAAATTACTTTTTAGACACCATGTGAGCAACTATTTTCTTACACTACAATTGGTAAAAAATTTGAAACAGCTAGAATCATCTCAGTCTTCTGTGTTAATAGGAAGGTTTTGTTAATATATATCCTTGGACTTGAATCTTATGAGACATTCCCTTTTCATTTAAATGATAACCAGAACAACACAGACTGAAAAAGGTAGATAAAATTTGCCTAGAACACTTCACTAGTAATTTAAACTAGTATTTTTCTCAGTCCGCAGAAAAGAATAGCTAATCATTGTACTAATTACAAAATCAGAAGTGTGCATCCACCCACACATTTTAAAAAGAGCATATGTTTACCTGAAAGGAAACAAAAGAAAAAAGGAAGAAAATTCTAATTGTTAAAAGACTAAACATGTCAAGAACTGGCAGTTCTGACTGTTTTTTGGAAAATTCCAAAAAAAAAATTGGTTATCTTTCCCCTTCTCTTTCTGCAAAGACTTACTGAATTGGAAGAAACCAAAGAAGTGCTTCTTAAAGTCAGTATTTAAACATTCATTTCTGTAGCTATGAACACAACATATAAATAGTATACAAAAGGAAAAGGCAACTTTCAGTTTTCAGCAGCTTGATACTCCTACCTAATTTTAAAGACAGAATTTTAAAGTTAAGGAAAAAAAAATCTGTATTTTTTCATTCAAGTAGTCAACATTTTCACAAAAAATAGAAAACAGCCACCAGGAGAAAACTGCAATAAAGAATGGTAAGGCTTTACTGCTAAGAATGTGCAGAGTACTTCTCTAAGTTTTCTACTTACTTCCTTTGCACAATACTGTGCATAAAGAATTCACCACAGATGCAATGTCCAGATGGACTGTAATTATGCACTCTTGAATATTTCTCCCAGAATATTCAGGAACAGCTCATAATATGCAGAATCAGAGGAGTGATGGAGAGGCAGTGGCAATGTATTACCTATCTGACTGACAAAGACTCATCTTCACAGAACCATCAACTACTGTAAAGATTATAAAGATAGAAAAGATACTCATGATCAATTCTTATCATTTCACCATTTTGATTATTTTCAAATTCAGATACTTTGTGAGACTAGAATTAAAAGAGATGTCTGAATAAGCACGAAATTTCTGTATCAGTATATTTCATAAATAGGCAGAATATACATATTAGTTGCAAATGTATTATTGTGTATTTATTCATATAAATTGTCACATTTAATAGATGTGTAGACAAATAATGGGCAAACATACTTTCACATGCATGGCCATATGATTACAAAATACACATTCATGAAAAAGAAATCAATCTTTGGAGAGAAAATAACCTTATATAAAAAATTCATATTCTGACAGACTACTGTACTGGGTTTGAGTGGCCAAGTTTTGGTAGTAGGAGGACCTACAGGAGTGGCTTCTGTGAGAAGCTACGAGAAGCTTCTTCCATGTCCAGCACAGCCAATCCCTGGCAGCTTCAAGATGGACCCACTGCTAACCAAGGCTGGGCCAATCAGCATTGACAGTAACATGGTAACATAATTAAGAAGGAAAAAAAGTGATTGTAGATGTAACTGCGGGCAGAGAAGAGCAGAAATAGAATATGGAGAGGAACAACTCTGCAGACACGGGAGACACCCCCCACTGGAGCAGGGGAAGGAGTCCCCTTCCTGAGCAGTGGGAGAAACAACATGGGATGAACTGACCATAACCCCATGCCCTGTCTCCATGCGCTGCTGGGGGGAAGGAGGTAGAGCTGGCAAAGAGGGAGGGATGAGAAGAAGGTGGTTTTAATATTATTTTTTACTTTTCCTTTGATTTTTTAGTAATAAATTCGATTAATATCCTGAAGCTGAGTCTGTTTTGCCCATGACAGTATCTCAACCTATGAACCCTTCATTATATTTTCTCTCCCCTGTCCAACTGTAGAGGAAAGTGATAGAGAGGCTTTGGTACCGGCCTGGCATCCAGCCAGGCTCAACCCACTCAAACTACATACAAAGGTATAAAATACTATACCCTTCATTTTTTGCTGTAAGTATAGTTCCTGTACTGTGAACTTACAGAATGGTATATTTTCATCTGATCCAATTCTTTCTTAAGATTCAGTCTACAAAAGAGGAAATAAAAAAAAAAAATAGGTACAATCACACAGATGCCACTAAAATTATTTCAGAAATTAATCCAAACCCACACCAATATATTACTGGGAATAAAGTTATCGACACCCAGGAATTAGTTTTAATTTGACAACACTTAGCATTACTTCAAATGTAAGGAGTCCTTCATACAACAGCTTTTTAAAATGTGTAAATCATATGAATTTCCAAAATTCAGACACAACGCTGATTGTAACATACACTAAGAAGTTTCAGCCCATCTATTTTAGGTAAGAAAATATTTGAGATTAAAAGAAGACCAGTAGGAGGCAAAATCCTTTTAAGAGGTAGACAAATACTCTGTCTCAGGGGAAATTGCCAGCCAAACTCATGAAGATATGTCTTATGATCTAGCAACTATTCAAGAAACTTATTAACAAAATCATTCCTCCCATTTTCCAGCCCTGATGGACTACCATATTACTACCATAGTTTATTCGGTAACATCAACCAGCTAAGCTCTGCACAATAAATTGAATTGCTCTTTTTTCAATTTTGATAAAATTGCATATAAATAAAGTTGCCAGGATACCAATACTAAAGTTTCAAAGTCAAATTGGGAAATGCTAGAAAGAAAGACATTATTTAAATTGTTTATTTAAACTTGTGTTTTCTGACACATTCTCTATCTATATAGTTGTACACTATTTCAGCAATAAAACCCACACCTGTTTCAGCCAAAGGTCATACAATACACAAAACAGAGCACAGTTATTTAATAGGTAGCTTCTGCTTAAAATATAAATGCATTTCATGCACGAATACACATTATTCTAGCTCTATTGTGAAAGTTTCACTGCTAGTGTTCTCACTTATTTCAGTTGTACTCCAAACAGCAGCATCTACTTCACAGAAAATTTATGCTCTTCCCTACTTTGCCATCTGAAATAAGGCACTAAAAAAATCTGGCCAAAATATTTGCCGACTTAAGGCAAGGACTTTAAAAAGAAGTCATTTGGTATACACAGTACATTAAAGCACATTGAAAGTCAAGTGCACCTCTGACTCAGCTGTAAAACATAAACTACAGAGAAAATTATAAACATGAAAAGTTAACTAACTGGCTTAGCATGACACATAGGAAATCCAGCTATTTTTGGGATCACTTATCTGCCTTCACAGGTTGATATTCTTTGCTGTCCTTTCATCTTCCAAAACTCAGTCAACATCAGTTGCTATTACACAGACTTCAGTGGCTTTTGTCTCCACATTGTCTTAAGTCTTCACAGCATGTTGGCTTTTTGCATAGAATGGCAAAATATTTCATTGAAAAAACATTGCTTATGAAATTAAAGACTCGAATCAACATGACATGGTTCCTACCTGAATCTCTATCTTCTGAAACAGTTAGTTTTCAACTTTAAAATCATTATTTGAATGAACATGTTTATGAACAAATGCACTGCCTCTGTAAACACTAATTGACAAGCCCGCAATATAGTGATTGTACAAGATTTTTAAGAGTGAACTTCTACACATATCTTTTCCTTTTGGTTGATGAAAGACATGCAGAAGTAAACTAGTTATATTAAATAAGTTAAGAGGAAGTTCATAGTCAGAATACCTGAAGTGCCTCCAAATAAATTCATTTATCTATTAAATAATCTCCAACTGAAATTATGATTTATTAAGATGGAAAAATTTTAGTCAAGTCCAAACCAAAAATTTCTATGTGCAATACAAGAATCAACTCACCCAGTTAATGGCTAGGTGAATGTTATAAATGCCCACAAGGGTTAGCCAGTGCCAAGTCCAACCATCAGCACTACTATGCCTCCCACAGAGGCAAAAGCAGATGCTATTCAAGAAAGAATAGAAGCCTAACAGTTTGTGCAGTGTGATTCCAATTTTTCATCCTGGAAGTGGCACATTCTTTATTTCTTCTGCTTTCCCCATTGCTAAAAGGACCTTTCCTCCAATCCCAGAGCAAAAAAAAATTCTTTATAACCTTTCATGTGGAGCTCTGTTAAAGGCAATTGAAAAAATATTCATCAGATTACTGTTACCACATAGTTTTGTCACCCTTCTGCAATTCCAGCAGGTTAATGAAGCAGGATTTTCCTTTACAGAAGCCACATTAATGCTTCCCCAATAAAACTGCATTGATTTGTGCTTAGTGGTAGTCCTCTCTATGGTGCTCTTTTCTGGTTGTTTGGTTTTGTTTTTTTTTTTTACTTTCTCCCTTTCACCCTCTTTTTCCTAAAGACTGACTTCCATTTTCAAGGTATGGAAGCAGCCATGTTACTGCAGCTCCCTCTGGAGCCCATTGTGCAGTTGGGAGTTATAGCAGCAACCTGCCAGTCCACTGGCTGTTAACAGTTAGGTTAATTTCATACTTACTGCTTGTAAATATATTGAAGTTCATGTTCTTCACTCACACCTCTGTGAGTGAAGAATATATATATATATATATTCAATATATTTACATATATTGAATATATATATAAATATATATTCATTATATATATTCAATATATATACATATATATATTTCAATACATTTATAAGCAACTACTCTACTTGACCTCATAATTTCTGTACAGATACTTCAAATAGATCTAATGCCTTTGATCTATCTGCTGCAAAGCATACACAAGTTGTCGGCGTCTTCATCTTCCATTTAGCATGGAAACATACAATCACAGCATGGTTTGGATTGAAAGACATCTTAATGATCATTGAATATAAAATATTGACCAAGGAACAGACTATTCTTTTAGGCTTTGTAAACCCAGTGTATCATTTTACTGTTGTCATTGAGCAAACCTATTAACTTCCTTATTGTCTTCTTTTTCACTCTAAGCAAAATTTTACTGTAATAGCTTAAGCTTTGAAAACAACTCTTCAAGAGCCTTTTTAGGCTTCTCAACTTCCCATCTGCATTTCTCCTGTCTCTGTTTACTGGTCCTACCTGTTTCTCAGCAATGCAAGCTTAAGTTTTAAATGCTGACCTTTTCCATGTAAGTGCCATTAAAACTTTTGCAGTCTCTAGAGAGAGCTTCTTAAGACTCTTTGGGGACAGGGGGTGGTTTGCCACTATTTTATTTTAGCTTTTTTTCAAATTGTAGCTCATATTTCACTTGGGTGTTAGCTACAGTATTTTCTTAACAGTATCCAACAAATATTTATTTTCTGCTGGCTCTAGTGCACAGTTGAAGATTTTTTGACTAGTTGCTTCATTTTCATTTTATTGGTTTCCTTTCTGGAAAGTGAGTATCCCTAGGCCAATTGATTTGTTCCACTCTCTTCTGATATTATTTAAATTAAAACAAACAAACAAGCAAGTTACATAAACTCAATAAAGGCCTTCCTTCTTTCCCTACCGAAGTCACAAAGCAAATCACCCTGGAAATAATGTCCAGCCACCTAATAGACAAGGTGACTGAAAGCAATTAGCACACATTTACTGTGGAAAAATCTTGCTTTCCCAAGCTCACTACATCTGTAAGAGATGACTGGCTGTAAGAATAAAGGGAGAGCAGGTGTACACCTTGAATTTGGCAAAGTTTTTGAGATGGTCTCTCATCTCTTTATCGCCAAAGGTTTGAGATCTGAATTGAAAATTAGATAAGGTGTCTGTAAAATTGGCTGAACTGTTAGGTTGAAGAGGTGATGATCTATCATATGGAGTACAACTGGTAACTAGCAATTAAAAGCTTTTCTCAGGGATCCATTATAGAGCCAATACTGTTTACTGTCTTTATTAACAACCCCAAAGATATGCTAGAGTGCCTTATAGCAATCTGAGGGAAGCAACTGAGAGCTCAGTAGAGGGCTGGACCACTGCTCACTGAGATTTCATAGGAAGAAAAAAAATGACTGATGGGAACTTCATGAAGGTCACTTAAGGCAAAGACCCCTTAGAAAAACTTTGAAAGAGGACATGTTAAAAGACCAATTGTCTCAAAAGCAGCTTGGCATTAAAAAAATTCTGTCCTTTGAACCAATATGACGAACATTAGCAGTGACATGACTTTGTGATGATGGCTAACTACATGCTGGCTGTATAGGCAGGAGTCGGTAATCAATTTACAGAACTGATTCTATTCAGCACTTCTGAGATGGCAAGTGTGGCTGTGTCTTGCTTTATTCTCCTCCAAGAAAGACACTTATGTAAATACATTAAGTGTAGCAAAGGGGCATCACAATGGCCAGAGGTTAGCTTTATGTTTTATGATGATAGGATGAAAGAAAACTTCTGACTATCAATACCTGCTTCCTTCTATGCTGAAAAGAATTCCTTTATTCCAGGACCATTCTTGGTGCAAGAGGATATTATCATATCAGTTAGAAATCAGGTCTTATATTTCACTCGTGGTCTCATTTAAGAGACTCAATTCCTCATGGTGAGTTTTTCTTTCTCTGGAGCTGTGCTCTTTGTGGCTGACAGAATAAAATGTCCTACATGTAGAAAATCATATATGTCACACTACACCAAAATGAATAAGCTGAATGCCACAGGGGGGGACTGCTACCCACATTCTGATTTTAACTTTCTTGATCTTGGGAAGGCAAAACAGATTTAGCCTGCCTTTTTCAATCAATTACTGTCATCATATCCAAAGATCTTCCATCCTAATTAGTTAGTTAGTTGGTTTATTTTATTATTTCTAACATCTGAAGCCTGCTAATATTCTGTTCACTAACTTTTTAAATTTTGAATGCAACTATTAGGCTGCTCAAGGCAAATATGTTTGCACTGAGCAAATTTCTAAGTGTTTAAGTGATTGGGAAACAGACACCATACTGATTTCTGCTCACACTTTTTAAAATCTAAAGAACAACACAATAAAACCTTTAAACTACTCTAGCTAGAACTTGTAAAAAGAAGAAAAAACATTCCCTGTATATGCATTATAACATGACATCCACATCTAGTCTAGTTCTCTGAAATTAACCATAAAAGCACCATAGCCTGTACTTTTTGTGCAGAGTGGTCTTGAAGAACACA